ACTACATCAACAACAACAACCGTTGCCTATCGCATGAACTCAGCTGCGTCCGGGCACTACGCATCAATGCACAGCACAGATGTCGGGAAGCTGCGACGGCGTAATACTCTATGGCGCCTCATCATCTCCTGTGGATACCCGCATAGCTTCATAAATAAATGCTTACATTAAGGGCAAACCAAAGCTGACGGTGAATAAAAACGAAAACGTGAAGTCCTCCATGGCCTGCCTTAAGTGAATGCCGTCTCAAAAGCCACAGAACGCATTCTCAGACCACTCCGCGTGGACCTTGGACACTGGTCAGAGGTCAATATCCGCCGCCTGTTCATGCAACCAAAGGGGCGGCTACCGACTGAGGACACGTCAGGAGGTGTTTACCGCGTCAAGCGTCTAGACTGTCCAGTCAACTACTGCGGCATGACTGACAAACGACTAAAACCACGCATGCATGAGCATGCTTTAAACGTAAATCTAAAAAGTGTGCGATTGCATGTCGTTATACGCAGTCTCAAAAATAATAAATTCGGCCCCAGCAGTGCGCAAGTATTCGAATGAGCTGAAAACAAAATGGCGAGGGAGATAATCGAAGCCTGGCAATCTGACGCCAATTCGATCAGCTCTGGCAGCAACCTACCAGTGCCATACGAGACCGTCAGCCGCCATCTGCGCAAGAAAGGACGACCAATGAGACAAAAAACAATAGAACATCAGGGGCGAGTAGGAAAGATCTCTTTAAACCGTATTTTCCCCATCCCTATGTATCTCACATGATCCACCCAATTATACGTGTAAAACCTTAAATGATAAAACCCTCCTCCTCGGAAGCCTCCTTTCCTTCTCCTTCCATCTATACCATCTATTACCTATATGCATGTCGTGGAAATTCCTTTCAAGTCCTTCCTGTCGCCAGCGTGATGAACTGGTCGTACCCAGCACCATCAGTAACAAGAGTCTTACCGCGGTCGGCAAGCAGAAGGATGCTCAGGTGCGTCTGTTGTTGAAAAATAAACTGACGTGCTTCTGGTGAGAAATCACGCGTGTCCAATGATTCCCGAGGGAGGAAAAGCGTGACCTGACGGTTAAGCGACAACCTGTTAGTCAGGCACCTTGGCACAATAAAACTGCCCCATACTTTTTTGCCAGATGAATGAACGACTACTGTATGTTCTGACAAGGTGATATAATGCGCCAGGATAACTCTCGATTATAGACTTCTTGCCGCTTTTTGGTTGCCAGCGTCGGTCGCACACTGGACCTCCCGGACTGACTGGACAGGAACGCCCATTTCCGTTCTGCAATCAGAGCGGATCGGAAACCACCAGAACTTTGTGGCTTAAAAGACGGGCAGTATGCTTCACGCAGACCAGTGGCGTCGGTCTGAGGAACACCCAGTGAAGGGCAGAGCCATTAGTCTGGTCACATAGAAGGGGTGAAGGATCTCCCCCCCGTGTTCT